TGAACGCATTTGCATAAAGCTAATCTGCCAGTCTTGATAGGGAATTCTCCTTAGTAATGAGTTKTTTCATTGGAAGCTATAAGGAGGTCTTTTGAATATTTTTTAACACATATTAGTCATCCTCGTGTTAACAATTTCACAAACCAGTATAGACCAGGACCAGTTTTATAGTTTTGCGTTCATTGTAAGGTGGCACCTTGACTGTGCTGGGTACTCGTTCTAGCATTCAAAGAACAAGGGCCTCTGATCTTAATATGAAGTACTCAATTAATATGATGATATTAATAAGGAGGCACTTTCATCCTCAAGGAGATCCCTTGGTAAAACCCCAGTGTATTGTTTGTTTACAGACATGCACTGAGATCCTATAGTTATTAGATGATGTAAAATAAGACTCAATAGCCTGCAATCAGCATTTCCCTGGCCATTAATGAGAACATAATGATGTTGAAAAAGTAAACTAGCCAACCAGGCAGATGAATGGGAAACAAAATTAAAAATCCCTGCTATGATTGGCCCCCTATTGCCTTAGAAAAATTTTCCTGATTTCTCACCTCTATTGATTTTTAATTATGCATTTGCTTTATTTCACATCTTCAGAGTAACAACATGAACACAAACACTGCCAATATTGTTGAAACAGTTGAAACATTTTGTACATTCTCCTCATTTTTAGGTTTTATCTCCATGTAAGAGCACATGCTCCCTTTCATTTTAAAGTCTCATTTAGTTTAAGTTCTACAGGTTTAATGTTTATCACCACTTTATCTGTGTCTCCTTAGTCTTTCAGGTTGTCTGCATCCTGTTCTTTCATAGATTACTTAGGAAGGACTTTTTAAAACAGTGTTTCATCAGTTCTTGCATTCAATAATATTTTATGCCTTTATGTTCAAAAGCATTAAAAATAAATAAATAACAAAACCTTTGGCTCAGAGTTTTTTCCTTGAGCATCTCAAATACATTATAAAATCTTCTTACAGGATAAGGCAATGCCATTTAAAAGTCTAGTTATAATCTAAATTTTTTTTGTTTTTTAAAAAGTTATATTCATGACTTTTTGTTTCTATTTTTATCTCAATGACTAAAGGCTTTTAAGTTTTAGTAATTTTACTAAAATTTATTTTGATGTTAGTCATTGAGAGTAGATACTCAATGTGCTTTTCCAACATTCGTTTTTGTTTGTTTGTTAATGTTAGGAAGATTTTTCTTGGAGTACATAGTTTTTAGTACTTACTAATCTTCCCTTAGTTTAATTTTCACCTTTAGGACTACTATTATTCATATTTTGATATTCTTTACCTTTCATATTTACCACACCCTCTGGGATCCTTTTTAATATACTTTTTAAGATTTACATCCTTGGGCTGGTGTTGTGGCTCAGTGGTAGAGCACTGGCCTAGCATGTGTGAGGTCCTGGATTTGAACCTCAGCACCATATAAAAATAAACAGATAAAATAAAATAAAGGTATTGTGTCCAACTACAACTAAGAATAAATATTTTTTTAAAAAAGATTTACATCCTTTTCAGGTTATAAAATTTGTTTGCTTYTGTGTTTTTAAATGGTCTTAATATTTTAAAATATTCTTTTATATTTTGAAATATAGTTTACATACCATACAATTTCCCCCTTACAGTATACAACTCATTATATGTTTAATATATTCACAAGTATGTGCAGCCACAACCACACTTCACTTTAAAACATTTTTATCACTTCAAAAGGAAAAATCCATACCCTTTTGCTATCATACTACTCCCCATGGTTCCCTACTCCTTTATTTCATAAGCAACCACAAATTACTTTCTACCTCTATAGATTTCCCTTTCTAGACATTTTATATGAATTAATCCTATGTATGGTATTTTGTAACTGGCATCTTTCACTCAGAATAATGTTTTCAAGGTTCATTCATGATGTATCATGTACCTGTACTCTATTCCTTTTTATAACCAAATAACGTTCAATTGTATGAATATATCACATTTTGTTTTTTTGTTCATTCACGGGTAAACATTTGGGTTCTTGCCTCTTTTCAGCTTTATGAATAATGCTGTACTCAAGATACAACCTCTATTTCATGAAAGGAAGCTGTGGAAAGATGGGAATTCTAACCAGCAAAGATAATGTGGTTTTGAAGTAGACAGATTACTCTGGCATTCTATTTTGAGCTCAGCCAAACTCGTAATCCTGGTTGAATGTGACTTCACCATAGTTTAAGCTGAAAGATACCAAGAAATGATGAATAGTTGAATTTCACTTTTCTTTTATAACTCATTAGCCACAAATTCTAAGGAATGTAAACCATACTGAATCTGGTCATCTGTTCAAAGATGGTCTGTAAATATAAACAGACTCAGCCCCAAATTGGTTCAGGACAAGCTTATGCAGCTGAGAGGATGGATCATAATAGTGGTTATAGTCAGGCCTTTGCCAGTATAAGGATGTTTGAGTATCCTGGGGTGTAATAGCTCCTGTCATACTCTATCACATCAAGATGAAAATTAGGATTCATAATGACATCTAGACAAAATACATTGTGCCTTGATCAAATTTCTCTTTACTTTATAGACTGTGATATACAAAATGGCCTCCCAAAGATTTGAATGTCCTTTAAATATGTTATGTTACATGGCCAAAGGGACTTTGAAGCTGTAATTAAGATTACAGATCTTAAAGTAGGGTGATTACCTTGTATATCTGGGTAAGATCAATCTAACCACATGACAGCTATGACAACAAAGATGAGACAGAAGGAGAATTCAGAGATCTTTAAAGCACAAAGGGACTTGATTTACCAGTGAAGAAAGGGGCCACCAGAAAGCTTGAGAAGGAATCTGGGTAGCTTCCACAAGCAAAGACTGGCCCCAGCTGACAGCCAGCAAGGAAATGGGGGAGTTCAGTCCTACAAATGCAAGAAGTCAATTCCACCAACCACTTGACTGAGGCTTGAAGAACAGTCTTTCCCAGAGCTGCTAGATAAGAGTCCAGCCTATCTGACATCTTGACTTCAGGCTTGCAAGGCCTTCTACAGAAGACCCAGTTGAGAAATGAGCGCTAATAAATGGGTATTATTTGGGCTGGGGTTGTGACTTTTCGATAGAGTGCTTGCCTTGCATTCATGAGGCCCTGTGTTTGATCCTCAGCACAACATAAAAAAATAGATAAATAAAGATATTGTGCTCATCTACAACTTAAAAAATGGATATTATTTCAAGTCACTAAGTCTGTGGCAACTTATTGTGGCAGTAATAAAAATTTAATACATCAACATATTTTTAAAGAAAGCAAGCAGAATCTTCAAGCAATAGGACTTTGATCAGGATTCTCTTTTCTCATTGCAAATATGTGATGTAGGAGTCTTTAAGTTCTTTGCTCAAGAACACAGTTATAAACTATAGTCCCATCTGTAAGAGTATATGGTTGAATTTAGTGAAAGACAAAGGCCCTGTTTTCCTCCAACTCCTTCTAGAACCCTAGAATGGAGAATGGATTTCAGGGACATCAAGACTGCAATAGGAAGACTAATTACCAGGCTACAGTGCTAATGCAGTTGAGGAATGACTGGGCAGGATTAGTTGGAAAGGGGTCATAGTGGAGAGGGAGATATTGATGTTGATTATTAATGGTTATAGAAGAGCTAAGTAGGCAGATGGCTGAATTCATAAATCAGAGTTCAAGAGGATATATAGACTTGGGAAAGGATAATCATGGTCAAGGTTCAGTTTGGGACATAGTCAGTGTGAGGGGCCTATGGAATATCCAGATGGTTTCAAGGAGCTAACTGAATATTAAAAATGAAGCTCAGCTGATTCTTAGATAAGAATCCAAATTGGGATTTACAAACATGTAAATTGATAAAATCACATGAATAGAGATTACACTTAAAAATATAATAAATGGAGAAATAAACAGAGATATACAATCAGAGAATAACAGAGAGGAAATTCTATTTAACTAGAAAAGGACTGGAGGAGAGAAAAGATTGTTAAAAAAATGAGAAAAATGTTGGCTAAGGTAAAGTTGATACATTACTAATGAGCTACAAAACAGCTAAAGAAGTGTACATGATATCCTTTAGAGAAAAAAAAAAGAAGACAGTAGGGAGGCAGGAAGCATGAGGAAGTTCCTGTTAGCCATCAGGGAGCACTGCCAGCTGGGGACAGGGGGATTCCTCTCTTGCTGAATGAGGATGAGGAGCTAGCTAGAGGCAGGGGGGGCAGCACAGGAAAAAGTGTGTTAACTAGCCATCACACACAGGGAGCTTCAGAGCTGGGCAGTTGTAATTTCAGAAATGTTAAGATTATTTTCTTCTTGAGTACATCATTCCTTTAGTGAAGATGTAGCTATTTACAAAATCATTTACAGGGAAATTGGAGACTCCTCCCACCTTCCATTTCTGTAAAAACATTGCTGCTTCATTAAGTAGTGACAGTTAGTTTATGCAAGCAGTCACCTAGCTATTTATTAAGTTAGTTTATGCAGCAGTCACCTAGCTATTCAACACAGTTTCCTCAAGAAAAAATCATAGTGACTTTTCTTGATGACCTCTGCTGAGTCCCAGTCTGCAAAAGGATTTAAAAAGGTTGGCCTCCATAGCAGGGAGAGAAAAGACTCCCAAACAATGATGCCCAGGAGAGCTCCCAGCTGAACTGCCAGCTGTGGAAAAGCAGCCAGCCAGGAAAGAACAGTTTAGGAAGAATATTCCTCCTTTCCAGCTGGTTTAGAATTAAAAATTTAACTCATTCCAAAGCACCTAGTGATGATTTTAGGCTATAGACTAGATGCTACACTGTTACTATCTTTTCTGATGCCTTTGGTCTTGCCTTAGAATCAAAATAGCTGTCAAGGTTCTCTTAAACTCTCTAACAAAGCTAACCCCACATAGGTGAGTGTCCCCAGTATCTTTACTGGTGCCTTCCAGAATTCCATTTAAGATATAAACCTAGTATTGTTGCATTCAACTACGTTTCTACAACAAGGATTAAAAAGTACTTAGGTATAATTTTATTCTACTGTGCATCAATGCCATATACAAACATAAAATTATTTGGATCACTTAATTTTTACAGCATTCCATGTTTTAATATTAATAACAAAGACAAATGATCATTTCCTGAGTTAACAGTGCAATGTAAAATTTAATTTGTATTGCTAATAAGACATTTTATAGCATAGAAATGTGATCAAAGTGATCATTTACTTTATCATGTCCCAAAACACAAGTGCTTATTGTAGAACAGTGATACAGTTTCAATGGTAAGGGAATTTGTAAGGAATCCTGTTGTTGCCGTGATTGACTTTCCAGGTCAAGTATCAATAGTAAAATAAGTTATGTATAAAATAAAGCTGACAAATTACCTATACTGAAGGAACAGTTGATTTCATTTAAGAAACTGAAATCTGGATTCAAGTTAATCTTTTAATATATACAAAAAATGTTCTCTTAAAAAATTCTAAGTAGTCACAAATTTAGATAAACTAATTGAGTAAAATACAATCACAACTCTTCATTATGCTGTAAAATTATGGATCTCATCTTTGGAAAAGTTAAGGTCATGCAGCAACCTGAAAAACAAATAAAAAAACACGTTTCTTAGAGAAAATGTTTAAAAATAAGTAAGTTTATCATTATATCACAGTAGTTTTTCATTTTCTCCATTTCTTATATACTTTTTTAAAATACAAATTATTACTTCTAAAAATACACAATAATTTCTAAATGTCATTAAATATCTAGTCAGTGTTCAAATTTTTAATTTTTCCATAAATGTCATGGCTTCTAAAATTGTTGTGAATGAGGATTCAATTACAACTTACTCACTGCAATTGACTAGTATATTCTGATATATAAGATCTCTTTCCTCCCCCAATTGTCCATCATGTCCTACAATCTGTGTTGGAAAAAAAAAAATCAGAATTTTATTTCTTGAGTCTCCCATAGTCCTCATTTTGCTGCATTCCTTTCATATTCCTTAGTCACATGCATCTTATGTTATTTTATTCTCCACAATTTAATAACTGAATACAGAGGCCTGATCAGATACAGATTTACCTCTTTTTTTTGGTACTAGGTATTGAACCCAAGGGTGCTTTACCATTGAGCCACATCCCCAGCCTATTTTTTTTGTTTTTTTGAGACAGAGTCTTGCTAAGTTGTTTAGAGCCTTGTCATATTGCTGAGGCTTGGCCTTGAACTTGTGATCCTCCTGCCTCAGAATCCCAAGTGGCTAGGATTACAGGCATGTGCCACCATGCCCAGAAGTTTTAATTCTTTTTGGCAAAGTTTTTATAGTAGTATTTTTCCAGTCAGAGGTACATCACATATGATGCCTCTCTTATTGGATGCTGGCAATCATGGATAATCTCTGTATAGATCCATTAGTTCATTCAGGGCCCAAATTGGCAATATTCTACATCTATCATTTTTTCTTTATTAATCAGCTGAGGAATTCTATAAAGACAGACTTCTCACTTATTATGTTGCTATTCAGTAAAATGGCTCATGTAGGAAAAGCAGAATAAACGCTTGGTTTTTCCCTTTATTCATCAGTTTTCAAAGTTGATTTCCCTGGCATTCTATTTTCATTCTACCTCATTGAACAGGAAAAGGCAGAATACTGCTAAAATATAATTCAACTTGGAAAACAGTAAAAATGGAGACTTAGAAATAGCTGTTCAAATGCCGCTGAAAATAACAATCATTTATTTAATACTTACAATATTATATACAGTTACTGTGCTAAGCACTTCACATTAAGTATCATTATTCATTCCTGTTTATAGGCAAGTGCACTAAAGCTTAGAAAGGGTAAGTAGCTGACCTGAGGACACCCAGTAAATGACTACAAGATGACTATAAGTGGTAGGGCTAGAATTAAAACCTCACTGGCAGCTTCCAGAGCACACATATTCATATGAAGGGCCAGTACAGGACAGAAGTCCTGAAACAGCAGCCAATCCTCCCTCTATCTGAGCCATCCTACCTTTTTAAAAAAATTTTTTTTTAAGTTGGAGCTATTTTATTTTTTTTATTGGATGTTGAAAACATTACAAAGCTCTTGACATATCATATTTCATACATTAGATTCAAGTTTTACCCCAAATACTGATTACAGAATCACATCGGTTACACATCCACATTTTTACATAATGCTCTATTAGTAACTGTTGTATTCTGCTACCTTTCCTATCCTCTACTATCCCCCCTCCCCTCCCCTCCCATCTTCTCTCTCTACCCCATCTACTGTACTTTTGAGCCATGCATCCTGTCCCCTCCAACCTAAAGGGACTTCACTCTAGCCAAAACTGTACCCTTAAAGCATCTACCCTCCTCCTTTCTCTGCTTGTAATACTATCCTATATTTCTTTTGATTGGCAACATGTTAGTCATCATTCAAAGCACAAGTCTTTTCTAATTATGCTGTGCCTGTCTCCCTAATACACGCCCCCCCCAGGTAAAAGTAACTTCTCTCTCTGAATTTCCATACTTTGTTTTATCTCTAGAAAGAGTAGTTGTGATATTCTGTGTCATATTTTAGTTATTAGTATATGCATTTGTTTCTACCACCAGACAGTGTGGGCTTTCAAAGTCATGACTGTTTTATTTGTATCTGTGATAAAGTGGTAATTAGTGGATCAAAAGGTCATTATTGGCCAAGTAGTTATGAGCTGTTTTTGTGTATTTTTTACAAAAATAGGATTCTAAGTTTTTCTCTGTTATCATAACAATTAACATGTGTTCACCAAATATGCAGGATATGTTTGGGATGTTTATACAGTTGTACCTTGGTACAGGAGGAGACTGGTTCTGGGAATCATGTGGATGCCAAAATTTATGGATGCTCAAGTCCTCTCTAAAAAAAAATTTGCATCTGATGTAGTACATGCTCACATACACTTTAAATAATCTCTAAATTACTTGTAATATCTACTATACTATAACTGTTATATAAATAGTTGTCCAGTACAGGTACAATGTTTTTCAAATATTTTTTGATCTATGATTGTTGGAATCTATGGATGTGGAACTCAAGGATATGGAAAGTCAACTACTTATAACCTATGTGGCAGAAATGAGATTAATTTTGGAAGGTCCTAGGAAGAGTATTTTAAAGAAACTTGTGCTACAGAACAAAAACCATGATCTTATAAAAGACTCATGTCATTATCAATGAAAAAAAAGGGACACATTACATGCATTAAGATGGTGAGGACAAGGAAATCAAATAAATGAGTCATTAACTAAGAGTCACAAGTCTAGATGTTATGAATTGCAAGTACAGATTTGAATCAATCTATATCTCAAAAGGCAACTCTATGCAGCATGGTCAAGGGTAAGTAATATCAGGCATTCATTTGTAATGATTAATGACACTCTTGGGCTTTCTGGGAACACCAGGAGTATAGTACTGAAAGATTAGCTGTGAAGCAAAACTCAGAAAAGAGAACTATACAGATGACAGTACATTTTTAAAATGCAAAAATACTAAGGTCATGACTACCCTCTATTTAATGCATATACACTGAGGCACTGGTATGCAAGGAACTGTTTTCTATATGTTATCAGGAACCAAAATGAAGAAGACATGGTCCCAGCATTCAAAAAGCTCATCATTCATGGAGGGAGACAATGTAGTTCTACCAGGATGGCTATAAAAGAGATTCCCTCTCAGCCAGTCTTTCAATGCTGAAGGGTTTATGATTCCAATCATTTAAAAGTATCATTATACTGCAATCTGTGCATAGAGATACTTCTAAAATAATAGTGTCAATAAAGTAAAACAATGTAGTTCTAGCCTTTTTCCTATTATATATACACCTTTATTGACAAGGATCAATTTTTTATAATTAAAATAAAAATAAAACCACAAGATAAAAAAATTATCTAGAAAATGTCAGGTTTAGTCATGTACTGAAAAGAAAAAGCAGGACATTTATGGCAGTCATATTTCAAAATCATCTAGAAACCCAATGGTGGCTGCATTCAACCAAATATTTTATAGTGCCATTTTAGAAATAAATCATATCAAGGTGAATTTTAAATAAGATGGCACCCCATTGAGTATTCATTATCTGCGATTCAACTACTACTCTTGCCTTTTATATGTTCTAATTTCTTTGGGTCTAATTGCCTGGTTTTCAATCACTCTTTTTGTTATTTACTAGCTTTTACCCAGTTGCAGAGAATGAAGACTGAAAGCCTCAATGAGACAAACTGCTTAATAATTACTATTTATATTACAAAGCTTTGGTGGAAGTAGAGGCATACTGTCAGCCACTGGCAGAGAACACCAGGTGGCAGCTGTGTCTTACTTCTGTATTCATATCTAACACTACACATGATCCTGGCCTCCAACCCTTCACTCATGGGAAGACTGAAAATTTCATTGTTTTTCTAAGTCATAAAAACAGGTTATTAAAGTGTAGATTCATATGAGCAGGAGGAACTGAGAGACTAGCTGAATGACTGCTTTTCAGTCAAGATTTTCATTTCCGGGTTTTCCCACCACACTGCTACTCACTTTATTCCTTGTTCTGTAAATGGTGTTGGTCCACAGATGCAAAGAAGGACTTTGGATTTTTCTGAACTTCTATTCAAAAATTCAGAAAGAAGAGCTGGTGAAATGTGTCCCTGTTTGCCCTTCCATTCAGAAGTAGGGGCTGAGAGAACATATTCAACATCAAATCTAGGGGAAATAAACAATTTTTAAAAGTCCATTATTTTAAACATATTATTAGCATGTTTTAAGTTCAATAAAACACCTCCTCAAAAGAAAAACTGAATGTATCAAGAATGTTAAATAGGTAAATCTATATTTAGTAAGGATTAGCTTTTCCTAAAGATAAAGAAAGTAATTTGGCATTTTTAAAAAATCATTAGAAACAGAACTCCAAGGGATCTCAGAGATCCTCATACCTCTGCTAATAATCTGCTTGCAAAAATCACAATACAGAACAATTTCCAGTGATGTGTATTTTAATCTCTGGCTCATATCTCTTGGATGATTTCTAGACTAAGAATCCCATTTGACTTTTACTGTTGCTGTCTCAAAGACCATCAGCTTGTTATCTCCCTGCTGCACACCTGATATAATTCTGTGAATGGCATCAGTTCACATGGTTACACAAGCTAAAAACCTGGGTTTTATTCTGGGAACCACTCTTTACCTCATCCTCTACACCCAATTTCTTCATCAAGTCCTCGCTCCTAACCCTCTACCTACTTTTCTCCATTCTCACTGCCATCATATGGCTTGTTCTGTCTTCTGTTCTTAGCTCAGGTATCATGCCCATAGGGAAGTGCTGTGGCCCCACCAGTCTAGGGTCCAGTATTATACAGGCTGTGAAAATGTATGAAAATGTTTTTCTTTTTTTCATAGCCCTTACTTCAGGTTGTAAGTATGAGCTTACTTAACAAGATCACTATTTCCATGTCTACCTTCTCTGTTGTGCCATTAACTACAGAAGAGCAGGATCTGTGCTTGCTTTGTCGATCACTATATCCTTACTGGCCAAAAAATAGGAGCACTTAAATGCTATGTAATGGAACAGATGAAAGCAAAAGAAAAGGTATAGAATTAAAATGGGAAAGAACATCAAACCAAGTCTCAAAATATAATTTCTGACCATATCTTACCTGAGCTTTAAGTAAACTGATGGTTAAAAGCTATAGTAAATTCAAAATTTTATATAGTACCCATTCTGATATCTCTATTTTAGTAATCACAGTTAATTCTTCTTTTTTCAATAGCATCAAATAAAATTCATTTCTACATATTCTAGTTAGTAACTGAGATACTTCTGAAGAATAGTTGAAATTGGTTCTATGTTAATATACACTTAAGAAAAAGTTGAAGTGAATAGTTTCATATGAGGGAACAAGGAAACCAAATATGAGAAGAGAAAAAAACATGGCTGGCATCACTGCCTTCACAACCCTGTGCCTCAACTGGGCTAGGGTTTCCAGGAAGTGATCATCCTCGCCTAAGCAGCAGACCAAACAAGAGTGCCAGCAGGGGGATAGAGAAATAGTACAGCTCTGTGTACAGATCCCAGACTCTTGGTTTTATGGACCCATCTGTGCAATGAGATGGGAAACTACATAATCTCTTACGATCCTAACAATCTATGCTTTTTTAAAAAAAAATTTTTAGTTGTTGATGGATCTTTATTTTATTCATTTATTTATATGTGGTGCTGAGAAGTAAACCCAGTGCCTCACACATGCAAGGCAAGTGCTCTACCATTACGCCATTACGCCAACCTCACCCCGTTTTTTAATACTCTAAACACCTACAGAATTATATTTTAGTTCTTACCTTCAAGGTTCCTCATTTAGTATTAGCAGAGATTTGAATCCACCTTACACAAAACAGCCTCATCAAACATAGGATGGACATTTCTAATCTGAATACCTAAAACCCCAAATGTTTCAAAGTCCAAAACTTTTTGAGCCCCAACATGATCCTCTCAAAAGTTCATATTTTGGAGTATTTCAAATTTCAGATTTTCAGATTAGAGATGCTCAACCAGTAAGTCTATGCAAATATTCCCAAATCTGAAAATCTCCACAATCTGGTCCAAGAATTTTGAATACTTGATACTTAACCTATAATTTCTTTCACTAGCCTATATTTTCCTTCCTGGAACTTAAAAAAAGATAATGTTACATAATTTCAGAAAGTATATTTGCTTACTGCTCCATAAGAGCAGAGTCACTGTCTGCCTTGTTCAATACTACACATAGGTCTAGCTCAATATAAGTGCACAGAAAATATTCATCAAGTGAATGAAGGAATTGATTTATAAAATACTCTCTAAAAATAAAATCTGTGCTTGGAAAAACAACACCATGTGTTGTCATCTATGAAATTTTATATGTAAATGTGTATGATTTAATAAGTGTATTTTTCTGGGAAGAAGGTTCATAATATTTCAACAGATTATCAAAGGGGACCCAATAGCAACTGAAGAACTACTGTCTTCCAATTCTAGACATTTGAGTAAAAAAATGGAAAGTACCCTGTTTAATTAAAAGATCAAAAAGTAACAGATGTTCTCCTTTGGCTCCATTTCCAATGAACCTATCATTGGAAAAAAATTGCTAAAATATCTAAACGATTGCCAAAGTCCCTGTAATCTGTAATAAGTAGCTATTCATAATTTTCCTTTATTAAGATGCTTGCAAAAAAAAGTCTAATTAGAGGCATATTTTCTAAAGACATGAACTAGATGGTGATAAATAACAGATATTTGGGCTGGAGATGTGGCTCAAGCGGTAGCGCGCTCGCCTGGCATGCGTGCGGCCTGGGTTCGATCCTCAGCATCACATACAAACAAAGATGTTGTGTCTGCCGAAAAAACTAAAAAATAAATAAAATTTAAAAAAAATAACAGATATTTATATAAACACATAAATAAAATAAACTTCTTGTGTATATTGTATTTATTCACATAGTGGTCCCATTTTACGCACATAATGGAAAAAGTGAACAGACAGCATGGTAAGATTTAAGGATTATTGGAGGCTACTATCCTGCTTAACCGTCACAGGAAAGTAACAGTGCTCAAATTGGAGCAGAAACAATTCTAAGTTAAGATCAAGATTTCTTTAATAAAAGATTTCTTATAACATATCAAGATACAGATTGTGCCTGTGGAATCCTCTGTCCTGGATTTTTCTGAATGAGGGCCAACCTTCGATCTTAAACAATTACAATACTGAGTTGCTAGATGCATGAATGAGTAAACATCCTGAAACTCCCTGTATGCCCTATGATTTCAAAAGAGCCAGAGAGGACCAGGACTCTTGAAATAAATTCAGATTACCCATAAAATGCAAAACATCATAGAGGGAGAGAGGGAGATAGAGATAGAAAGAACAGGCTTGTTCTGATGAATGCCTATGAGGTCTAAAATGTCAATGAAAGCAAATAAGCTTGCTAGAAATTTTTATTTTAAATTAGACTGATGGTTACCTGAGATAAAAAGACTTGAAATGTACTCATTCATTGTAAATCAAGAGCAGAGCCTAAATATCCAACAAATATCCTCCTCCAGCCAATTAGCTTCCAAAACCTATCCCCTCCTTTCTATTTCTTGCATGTCTCCTACTTTTTCACTTTAACTGCCACAACTCCAAATCAGGTCCTACATCTCTTGTCTAAAACACAACTCTTAGCCTTAATCTGACACAACATTGCCATATTAGTAATGCTAAAAACCCAGATTCAAATTTGCAACTTTGCTTTAAAAGCTTCAGTGGTTCCTCATTACCAACAGACTACCATTTCAGAATACTTAAGGCTCCATCTTTTCCTGTTTTTCTAGCTAAAGAAAATACTAGGAACAAAACTGGACTATGGTCTGTCACTAAAACATCAGAGCATTCTGGCCCTTAGGTCTTTATTGCCACTACCAACATTTCCTTTCCTGTTCACAGAAATGCTATTTTGTTTTCCAAAGCCCAGCTCAAAGTCAGTTCTTGCATGAAGCACTGATATCCTTATTCTCACAAAAGTGTGATTACTCTTTCTCCTCTCAGTGCACAGAATCCACAGCTACTGATGCACTTTAGAGTAGTCTTATTTTGTATATTTTCCTATGTCAAACACATTTTGCAAATAGCATAGAAATCTAAGTTAAAGTACACAATCTTCTCTTGGTGGATATAACTGGGTAAATGAACCTTGGTCCTTTGTGATTTATTTCCTTGCTGCTTGGAATTCCTTCCTTTCTCTTTCCCCTTCCCCTATTACTCAATCACTGATCTCTCTATCCACTCTTTTTTTTTTTTTTAAAGAGAGAGAAAGGAGAGAGAGAAGAGAGAGAGAAAGAGAAATTTTTAATATTTATTTTTCAGTTTTTGGTGGACACAACATTTTATTTTTATGTGGTGCTGAGGACCGAACCCAGCGCCCTGTGCATGCCAGGCGAGCGTGTTACCACTTGAGCCACATCCCCAGCCCTCTATCCACTCTTAAACAACAACAACAAAAAACCACTATTAAGTGTATTGTACACAATAATCTGGGTTAAATACTTCATTCTCCAGAGACTATTTGTTAAAATGTATCAACAGCCTTAGAACACTTTGATCTATTGATTATTTTGATGAAATTTTTATTCTGAATAGTTACAGGAAGCACAGAATAACTTTCAGTTATATCAAATAGTAGGGGATTAGTTAAATTATGATATGTTCACATGATTGAATATAATGCCATTGTTAAAAATCATGTTATATTGCATATATTGCAGGGTTTCCCAACCAGCACTATTGGCATTTTGAGTTCCATATTCTTAATTTCATTTCATTTTCACATAGTAATTAACTAGATCTACTACTGCACATATCTGCCTACTGTTTTTTCTTAAAAAAAATAAATGTGTAAGATTTTGCTAGACTTTGAATCCCAACTTCTGGTGTTAACAGTTAAGTATAATAACATACCTGGATAAAATTCAGGTAAGGTGACTTTTTTTTTCTTTTCAGATTTCATACTTAGTGCCATGAAAATTGTATTGAAATAGAAACATTCTAAAAATGACTCTGAATTTCCTTTTTTTCCCTCAATTTTATTGAATGGAGCAATAAGGGAAAATGAAGAGACAGTCTTTGTGCTCCGCATGAGAAAACAGGCAACACAATATCTTACTACTATTGTGCCCCTGTGTATAGAGGCACACTGTAGATGTTCACACATATTTCAGGAATGAATAAATGCAACTGTTACAAACATGCTAATTATGGACTAGGCATCTACATATGCTAACACATGAATCCAGATGCCCTATGATATGAGTATTAATGTGTCTGTTCTACAGATCAAAAAACTGAGGCCCAGTCAAAAAAAATAACTTGCCCAAGGTCACAAGGTTAACAAGTTTCCATTTCATAATGATATTTCAAAGAATTTTATTTGTTAATAATATTATCTGGATAAACCCTGAGGACCAGAAAAAAAATGAAAATATTTGATCATATACCAATCTCTGTTACTACCCCTCCTATCCTTCCTTGTTCCACAAAGGACTTGGTAGAAAGATGAAACCTAATTCTAGACAGTATTTAATTTTTTTTAACTACAGAATTTCAGAGCATTTTCAAAATTATTACATTATTTAATAATTGAATCAGGCAAATGTATTCAGGTAAACACATTTGTCATCAGAAACTTTATTATCAAAAACTACAAGTGACACAGGGGAGTCAAGATGTGGGAAAGGGTGATTCAAAATATATTTAAAAATTAATATCTTAAATGCTAACCAAAATACAAATGTGACTATAATTAAAACTACCTGATATTGAATCTGAACTTTTAGTTTTCTTTTACGTATAGGACATGCAATTATGTTTTTGACTGAACAGTACTAACAAAATCCATCAATAAGTCTTTCAGGCTAGGATTCTCCTATTTCTACATAAAACCCCAGATTACAGTAAAATTCTTTATAAATGTTCCCAAGCCATCTACACAGGCAAGGCCTTTTTGTTTTCCAGTAAGGGCTTGACTTGATGTAAGTCAAAAGACACCAAGAGTCCATGGTCATGAATCAGTTTCCAACCAAGTGCCTCCAGTTAGGAAGACTGAGACTCCAGAAAAAAGTCATGGAGGAGGGAGGGAGAGAGAGAGAGAGAGAGAGAGAGAGAGAGAGAGAGAAAGTGCGCACATGAGAGTGAGCAAGAGGAGAAAGAGAAGGAGAATAAAGAGGATAAAGACAGGTTAGAAGTCTGAACACTATCACTTCTCTCAGCAGGCCGAAGAAGTATCACTCATCTGGTGAGTGCTGTTAGAGCCAGGCATCCATAGTAAAAAAAAAAAAAAAAAAAAAAAAAGGCGGCGGGGGGGGGGGGGGGGGGGGGGGGGGGGGGGGGGGGG